GGCATTGTTTTCTTGTTGGCCAGGTCACTGGTCACTGGTTAGGAAGGGAATGCATACAAATGATCACAGCTTAAGTCTCCTGAATACAGTATCATATATATAAGCCTATAGCTAAGCTGCTTTCATGTTGTTTTGTTTCTGCCGCTTTCTTCGGTCCCCCGCGGTGTTCCCAAGCCTCGCCTCAGGAGGGACGAGGGGATGCGCAAGAGCCGCAGCGACCGGAAGTCCTTGGCGGTGCCCCCGCCCTCGTCCATGAGCACATCGATGCCCATGCGTTTGAGGCCCACCATGAAGGGCGCAGTCTGGGAGCCCAGTGAAGTCAAGAGAGCGGAATGAAACCACACAGATCACGGGTACACAGGGGGGCGTGGGGTTCAGGTCATTTGGTTGGTGAGTGTGGAGGGGGTTGGGGGTGGTGGTTGTGTTTTGTGCGAACGGTTCACTCTTTCTTCAAGATCAGCTGCATGTGGGCTCCACACCCACACATGCAGCATGCATGACTGCCAAGGCTTTCCAACGCTTTCCAACGATATTTGTCGATCACCCCATTGCCCCAAACCAAGGGCGTTCGAGCGGACGGGATCGACGCTGGGGTGGCCGTGGTTCGACGCTCCGCGGCGACGGGTGGCGTCCCTTCGATCCAGAGAGGTCCCCCAAAACGGGCCGGGCGCTGGGGTGGAAGTCGGGGGTTCAGGGCTATTCCAGTCCCATGGAGTGTATGGGGTGTCCGAAAAAAAGGTGTCACTAAGAGCAGAAAAGAAGGAGGGAGTGCGAGGGTTTTTTCAAGATCCTTCAGCCGTGGAGAATGAAACGCCTGTTTGGGCCAATGAAGATGACTCTATGGACCGGAATGCTTGTGGACCAGTGAAACTGGAGGTCATTTCGCTCCACACGTTCACAGTGCACCAGCTTTCCACGCCCCATTTGGGGCGTGGTTTTCACCAGCAACATCGGCAGTATCTAGGGCCAGCATCTCAAAAGAGGCCGAATACGTACATACATACTATACACATACAGTTATAGCATATATATATATATATATGGATATATATATATATGCATATATATATATATTTTATTATATATATATATATCTTTACAGACACACATACATCTATACTATATACACATGTGCCTGCGAGCGTGCTTGTGTGTGTGTGTGTTGCATGCTTTTTCTCACTGAGACGTGAGACCTGGCGGTATGCCGTCCCCAACCGGACCCCGCTGACGGGCCCAGGCATTGGGTATTACGGAGCTCTACCAAGGCGTCGAAATGGGTGGGAGAGATGTAGGGAGTGATTTTATGGGTTTTTTGTACTAAGCCCTGGGGCTCCAGTTGTACCTTCTGAGAAGGTGGGACTGGGGTGGGTTTAGAGGGTCCAAATACCTTTTGAAGAGGCACCACTGGAGCCCTAGGGAATGACTACTACTGGGGACCTAGCCCCCCAAAACTTGTGGTTGTGCGGCTTGCGCAGCAAGAAAGAGTCGACCAACCTCAGAAATGCAAGACACAAGCAAGCAACCAGACTACTTCGAAAATAACAGAATCCATTATTGGTCTGGTTCACCAGAGAGTTGAGGGAGGCAACCCCGCGACTCAAGACCATCGGGTGGCTGAGAAATTGCACCAGCACTGTTTCCATCTGAAGAATGGAACTAGAAGTGGTCTAAAGCCAGGATTTGCTTCTCATTTTGTTCGGTCTTTGCTGCTTTGCTTCTATTCTGGTCACTCCCGCAGCTACACCTAATCAATCCTTGTCACTCAACTGACCGAGCGTCCGTGTGCTTCAGGCACAGTGTCCCGCTTCATTGCACGTCCGGGCAACCGCAAACGGTTGCTTTGGGACTTGTGCCGCTTGGCGCAGAAGTGTGGGCAAAAAGCGGCAGGCTGTCAAAGCAACAGGCCAAAAAGCGCCACACGGAGACTTTGCGCAATAGGATTTATCTATACCAGGACCTTCCTTCTGGTTGGATGAAATTACAGTCTGTTTCGTCCCAAGTGCTAAGCATGTAACCCGATAAATCGATTCCAGAATTTAGCAGCACATAAGCTCCCAAAGGCTCAACAATTCAAGGTCAACAGCGCACAGGTGTGAAAGCTTGCACCAACCGTATGCCGCAACTCATCTGCCCGGCGCCTATACCGCCAAAGAGGCTTCAAGTTAAAAAAGGACATGCACATGACGATATTTCGGTGAGGAATTGGTAGGCCTTATGATGCTCCGACAGGGGCCTAGTCTCGCGGTCATTTTGGGGATCGACCCACACAGTGGAAGGTTGGATCGACCAAGGATTGCCGATGTTCGCATATCATCCTGGAACCCAAACATGACCCCTGTTTTGATGGGGAGTTGGACCATATTTTGGGTGGCTGGAGGTCCAATGGTGTGCAGAACGCACAGCGGTTGTTCTTTGCTGTATCCGTTGCAAAGCGTTCCACTCATTCATGAGCCGCTCTTGAGGCTAGTAAAGCATCTATACAGTCTAGCAGACAGCTCACTGAAGAAGAACTTGGTTTTTCAGAAGTAACTGGTTGGGTGACTGGTGATCCTTGGGCTCACCAGCACACTCTTTAGTTCTTCTCTATCCGATGGCTATCCCCACATCTCCCAGCCCAGAGGTAGGAGATCTTCCAGTCCGGGTGACTGGGGAGGTGTTGTGGTTACACATGGGGTTAACACATGATGTGTGTCATTGCTTGTTGAACATGCGGTCGTGTTTGTGTGTCTGACTATGTGTGCGGTCAAAGCATTGTTGTGGTTAATTGTTGGTGTTGCCCCTTTGTGTGTTTGTGTCATTGTTTGCCGATGGTTTGCTGTTTGTTGTATTGGTTGTCCTCGTGTATTGTCAGGTGTTGTGTTGTGGTTATGTTGTTTTTTTTTGCTATTTTGTGCGTCAATCGTTGTTGTTGCTATCATGTGAGGCCACTGCCGGGACGCTGCTTCTTTCTAGGGTGTGGCCACTGGCCGGAGGAAGATGGCAGATGCTTGTGTTTGTAAGTGTGATTAAGTGTGGGGTGGTTGTGTCATTTTTGTTTGTTGCCATGTTTGCACTGGATGCCCTGCGGCGGCAAAGAGATAGGGTGGGAAGAACCACTATACCGTACCAATCAACAATTACCGTTTGGAAGATGTTCCAATGCTTACCACCAAACTGGACCACTGGATGGTTGCAGTCTTTTAAAAATATAAACAAGAAATACTTCGCGCACAGCTGGACCTAGGCGGATTGTGTTTCATCATCTACGATTGCTGGGTCCGGACCCAAGGGCTTCTGGTTCGACTGACTTCGCACGGGCATGACGTTTGTCCACCTGAGCCATGAGAAAATTCCAGCTGGCGCCAGCCAGCCAACGTCGTAATTGCTCCCATTCGTCATGTTCATGCTCCGGTATTGCGGTGAATTTGTCAAAAGGAATAACTTTCTACACTGTGATAGTTTTGTTTCTTTTGGGTAGTAGGGACCACGGTTTTTGCCCTCCGTTTGTGTAGAAAAAAGTGTGAGGACATCAAGGAGACAGGATATAGATACCCTACCAAAAAGGCAGTGCAGGGACAAGGCCCATAGAGGTTGACCTATTTTTCAGGAACTCTATCTGCTGTAGTTGGCTTGGCAAGATCCTGACCAACAAAAACGATGATTTTACAAAAAAATGACCACTGTTTTGATACGAAATGATAAGTTTTTGGTGGTTGGTGGTCGACAATGGAGGTCATTCAGGTTCTAGGTATATATTTATAAGATGTAATGTGATATGAAGAGACATAGATAGATAGATAAGATACGATAGGATAGGATAAGATAGGATATATAGGATAAGATAGGATAGGATAGGATAAGATGAGATGAGATAAGACACGATAACATAATATAGATACATGATAGATAGATAGACAGATAGATAGACAGATAAATAGATTGATTGATATCGCGTGGTTTTGTGGTGCTGATGCCCGAAGGCCCCACAAAATGATGTTCATCAGTTGGGAAGCACTGCAGAATCGCTCCAACATTGGAGGCCTTTTGGGCTCTAACACGTTAGGCGAGGCGAGAGCATCTTGGATTGTATGCCAGGTCACTGAAAGGCCTGAGCAACTTGGGCAGAGGTCCAGTTACGCTCCTGGAACACGAAAACACCACAAGCCCGAGCCGAACGATGTCGACCTCACGACTCACCTGGTCTCACCTGGTGTGGACTCTCCGAGGCCATTCCTTTGAACGTGTTCGATCCTCCGGAGGGTCCCTTCAGCTTGGTGGCCAATTGGCACCTCGGCCCAAAACGAGCCCCGCCGAGCTTCGTCGCGGTCTAGTCGACCGGATCCAGTCGTACCGGATCCAGTCGGTTCGGTGGGACCTGGGGGGCGGACCCGGTCCAGGTGCCGTACCTGAGGTTCGGTACGACTGGATCAGGTCGAGACAGGTCCGTCCCAGAGCGATCTGGAGGAGTGAGCAACGGTCGCGTGGGATCGGCCGGACCTGCCGAGCGTTCCGGGCGGACGGGGCGTCGGGGTGGTGGAAGTCGGGGGGTCTGGTTTGATCGGCAGTCCTATGGCAGTCCCATGGAGCTGCTGGGAAGGATGGTGTTTTCCTTGATGCATGCAAACTCACCGAAGAAGATTGCCTTTTCGCAATTTGGGCACGGCTTTTTGGGAGCCTGAAGAGTCAACAATGGTCTCTGACGTTCATAGAACTCTGAGAAACCACCCCTGGAAAATGCATTCTAAAAGTTCGAAGCACGGTGGCGCTCCACCCTCGAGCGCCTTGCAGGGCCGAGCTGGACTCGTGCCGCTGCCGCACCGAGGTTGACGCTGATCTATTGGACACTGAACGTTGGACTTTCAGCTGCACCTCAAATAGTTCCCATCCGGAGACTCATCGCCAGAGTGTGGGAGGTTGAGGTTATTCTGTTGGAGCATGTAACAGGCTGCGGTTGGTTAAAGATTGTTGATTAAAAAGCCAACCATGGGGGTCTAAGGCCAGTGGTGTGCCGCAGGGCCAACTTGAATACTTCACCTCAGAGAGAAAAAAAAGAGAGAGAGAGAGAGAGAAAGAGAGACAGAGAGATCCAAAAGATCCCACTAGCACACGAACAAATTCCACAGGTTTGATGTTTTGCAGCCCATTTGGGCCGCTCCTCCACCACCGCCCGGCCCTCATGGCTCACGGCCAGGTGCGACGCTGACCACCGGCTTCGTGCGGGAAGGTCAAGAGGTTTTGTCGCCCAAGGAGATTCTGAAGAACTACCTGAAGACGTCTCTTGGACGAAAACACGTGGCCGCACCGCACATGCTGGAGTCCCGCAGCGGTGGATGGATGGCTCCTGGAAATAGCGCGCGGCTCTAAAAGAGAACACCGTTGCCCGGGAGGCAAACTAAGCCGCAAACCACAAAACCGCAAACCACATCTCACCGCACAAAAAGCCAGACTTGGCAGAGCCTTGGAACTGAGCCGTTTGCATGTCCGGTCTCCCGAACAATGTCCGACAACTGGGGAAATATGTGAGACAGGGGGCCAAGAGATATCTAAGCTCTTCTAGTGATATCACGCGATATCAAGAGCACATAGCAACTTCTTTGCCGATGCTGCTTTCACCAATGTACAGCCATTTCCAGCTATAGTTTGTTTTTCACTGATGATCCTAGTGAGCCACATGTGTCTTCCTTGTAGGGTCGTTACTCACCAACGTGCCTTTTTGCTTGGAGCAAGGTGCTCAAAATGGGTTTTGCCACCAGGATGGGCCAAACAACAAAGCCCGCAGTGGCCCGCAGGCTCAAACCACCTTGGCCAACCCGCAAGTGATGGAGTTGTTCAGTTCGCTCACGTTCGCCAGACGGAAAGCCAAAGCCACTCCAGTCCTCAGACAACCCCTCTAGCAGGATTCCCGTGTGCACACACACACACACTAATTCCGCGGAGAATTGGCTCAACAAATAATGGGAACATAGCAGGTGTCTTAAACTTGCAAGAGTTGTTTGCGATCTTTTGAGAGCATATTTGCATGTAAGAGTTGGGTTAGATGTTTGCTCATCAAGTCCCCACGGATATCAGTCAGTCGCTGAATTTGAGGGGCCCCACCCAACCATTCAAAACCTGGCATTCCCTATCAAAAAACCTGGTGTTTTGTATGTGTATGTTTGTATGTTTTCATGGGTCCAAGTCCTGGGCCCAGGGCTGCTATCTCTCGCTGCTATCTCTCTCCTCAGGTGGTTTTTAATCGACGTGCTGACCTTGGGTCCTGACTGGACCTTGGAGATCATGGCCTATGCCACGGCAGCCAGCGGGACAAGCTCTGATGGGTACCTTGGACCGAGAAAGAGGCAGAGGCTGCCACGAGCTACACTCCCAGGTCGTACGAGCTACACACATGGAGCTACATATTGGAATTAAAAGCAAGTGGTCATATTGGATGAAACAGACGGCCTTCCACCCGTTTTGTTGGAAGGAAATGGACTCACCAGTCATAGATAAATAATGATAAATATAGATAATAACAACTTATCAATCATATATAGGCATCTAAGATGTTTTTATCAAAAAGAACCCCAAATTGGAGACCAGTTCAGAGTTGCAGAGCCCTACATGAACGCCTTTCTGGCGTCAAACACACCGCTGGCTTGGTTGGACCTGGCTTCATCCCGCCTCTCTGCCCCAGGAGTGTGGGCACCTCGGGCAGTGAGTCCATGCGCTTGCTGCGGGTCTTCCGGGTGGTGCGCGTGGCACGGCTGCTGCGTCGCTTGGACGCGAGGACGATGGCGGCATCGGTGGGCATCGGTGGGTGATCACCCCGTGCCAGCTTGGTTTAAGGTGTCCGATTGTCGACATGACATGTGACCGTTTTGGGATGTTTTTGGGAGGAAGTGCCCCAATTGACGTCACCAATCAAGTCGAAACAGGTCGAAGCGTCAATGGTCCGGCGGTGACACCGGCAAGACCCACTCGGGAACCACCTCGGAAGAAGGACCTCGTCACCCAGACACAACTCACCTCTTCCCGTCGGACCCCACGTCGTTGAACGATGCGCCAGCGATGGCCTCTGACGGAGGTTTGCTGAAAGTGAAGTGGCTTCTGGAGACCATAGGCGCTCATTTCCGTGTGGGGAGGTGTAAGACCCAGGACATGTTTTGTTCAAAAGGGCCGTGGCTGTGAGCTGTGGATGTTCATATGTTGTTAAAAGAATGGACATGGTTACACACAGGAAGTTTAAGACTAAGACTAAGACAAATTAAACAATGATTGCAAATAGGCGACCTATCGTACTTGGATGCATTTGGTATAGAGACGAGACGCTGCGCTCCCATTCTAGACGCCAAGATAAATCCAGATTAATCCATAGATTTCTCCAAGTCCAACTTCCCGCATCGTTTCATCCAAGAATCGTCATGATCATTTGAGACCAAATCTTCCACTTTGCACAGCTCACAAGAGGCCCCTCCTGTTTGGGCAGGCTTCTGGCAGACATAGATTTCCAGGTTGGCAGCTGTGCCAAAAGAGGACATGATCTGAATAACTATTGAAGCTTTGAATGATCGCCTTCAAGCCCCTCAGAGCTTGTGAAGCTTGTTGCCAGCTCATCCCAGCTCATCCAACTGCAGCGGGTTATACAGGGTAGGATGCATTCATGTTGTTCTGGGTGCGCATGCCAGAGCCATTTTGAAGACCTCGAAGTGGTCGTACAACGCGCTAGGGTGATGTGAGATGATGTCCTATTCAGCAAGCAATTCAAAACCACCAAAGAACCAAAGTAACTTCTATACCAGAAGTCACAAGATGGGGTGGTGTTTAGCCCCTAAGTGAGTGGATAATGGACACCCCTAACCTCCATGCATAGCACCTAAGCTCCATGTGACTGTGCCTTTCCCCTTCTACCTTTTTCCCGGTTGATCCTGTCCCCCAACGAAACAGGGGCAGGGGATGTCCCCGGCATCACCCGGTCCGCCGGGTCCAGGCGATGCCATCCCCATGTCGGACTACACCAGTATCGTCGCGACGCTCGGAGTCAAGCGAGTCGACCAGTCTCGGTTCGGCTTCTGCTCCTCCCAGCGGGAACCAAAAGAAAAGAACTCCGGAGACTCCGCAAACCTGGCACCGTTTTTTTTGCGCTTTTTGGCTGCTACTCTGGGATTGGTCTTTGCTTTCAGTCGAAGCTGACCAGCGCGCCTGCTTTTTCGGAGTTCGGTTGGCCGCACGAGTTTTGCGCTTCGATATGATTGAGGCAGGGTATGGATATGGTCTACGCGGAATTCCGACCAATTCAGACTCCTTTGGAGATTGGCTTAGCCTGACTGAGTGGTGTTGCCTCAGGTGTAAGTCTTACTTCGAATGTATCCATTGGGAGGTATGTGCCTGGCAGTGCCTGGCATTCTGAAGTGACTGTGTCTTTTTTTGGGGGGGCGAACAGAGGTCTCAGCACCCAAGGGTAATCGCCGGATGCTTTTTGGGATGCCCATTTCGGCGCCTTCGGCTTTCGCGGCCTGTTCCAAGATGTGAGCAGCTTCTCTCCCATCAGGAGAGTCGCACAGATGATGGCCATTTTGCTGTACTTGAACCACGTGATTGCTGCTTGGACCCACACAGACGGGCCACTTCTCGCTCCAGATCGCTGATCCGAAGAGCAAGGGTCGCTCTTCGGATTGTGGGGGGGTGCTGCTGCTGGGCTCACGATAGCTTTCGATCCTTTGGACGGGGATGGGGGGTCGTGGGAGCTATTCTACTGGACCTTCCCACAAGTTGGGGATGCATCCACCCAGGTCGTGCGGAACTTCTCATGTCCCCAGGTCGATCAGGTGTTTTTTCCATAGCGCGGACCACTTCAGTCTGAAGTAAAGTTGGGAACTTGCACTCACTTCGCCCTGGCCCAGTTTGCTTCTAGAACACCGGGACCTTTGCCTTGGCAAACGTGCCAGCTGAGAGCGCCAAGCACGCACGCCCTGGCCCCGCCCTACGCCTACGCGCCCATTCATCCGGTTCGCCTCCGGAGGCGTGTGTGTTCTTTGCCACCACGACCTTGGGTTCCTACAAGACCTCCTGGACCGATCGCTATGTGGAGCCTGGCAGTGATTGGCGTGATGCCTACATGGACTCCCAGCCGCAAGCGGCCGCAAGGGAGAACAGAAACGCGCAACTCAAGAGTTTCTTGGGACGTCGAGGAGGGAGATGATCGATGTTTCCTGGTGTGGGCGGGTTGTGTAGGTGGAGAGTGACCATGTCAGTGACAATGCTTTTCCCAAAACCTTCTGTTGAGCCGTCTCAGAACTTGAGATAAGAGTTCTGAGGGGGGAAAGTAAATTCAAGAGGATGGTCAGGCGAGAACCGCGAGGACCGCCGTTATCCTTACATAGATCCGTGCTCGTGATTCCTGCTCTTGGCAAAATCTTGGGTGATTCTGCCATATCATACCATTCTCTCCAGTAGCAACCCCACTGCTATGGCTATCGGCCTATTTCGAAAAGTGCTTTTGCACTTCACTCTCCGAGGTCGCTTTGCACTGGTCCTTGACGCAGTTCACCCCTGCAGCGATGGATGTTCAACCGCAGAACCCCTTGGAACGTGCCCGTTGGAAGCGAGGGGGATGTTGGACTGTTTTGCTGTTTGAGGATCCATGGACCAGATCAATTCCCTGAACATTTGCCTGACTTTTGATGTCTGAAGAGCTTCAGTCCACCCCTTCGAACGGTTCAATTGACTTGAGTGATCTGAGTCGCATGAGTCCCAAGTCGCATGATTTTATGGCGAAAGACTGGAGCAAGGCTGGCCGAGCGGCTCGCTAGACCTCATGGGGTGGGTCTATAGGTTTAAGTTTCAATTGGGAGAGACTCCATGTCGGCCGAGCCGGTCGAATTGGTGAATGCGAGATTCCAAAAAAAGAAAAGCATGACCAGTCATGAGCTGCCAGTTCACACATGTTCACACATGTTCAGACCCACAACCTGAAAAAATGAAACTCCGTTAGCTAGTCCAGGAATGAATGTCAACACCTACACAGTCAGTGGATAGGTTTCCACCTACACAGTGGATAGGTTTCCCAACCATGAATCAGTGGAGTCGGCTTGAATTTTGACAGCCAAGCTCCAAAGCACCCCAAAAAGGTGCAAAAAGTGTTTAGGTGCGCCTCTTGTTGACTTGACTCGATGTTGACTCTTGATGTAGGTGCTTATACCATCAGCGTGGTGATCTTTGCCTTGGTTGGCTTCTCCTACGTGGTGGGCGACATTAGCTCCTGCCTCACTCAGCCCGGGCCCGAGTTCCAGGGAGCCCGTGCGAAGCAAAGACCAGGATTCCCCAGCTCCTTCTGAGCTCTTTTGGGAGGATTCCGACAGGATTTCCCGGTGGGAAATTGGATTTGGATCGGTTTTTGTGGAGTGCTTTTTTGCTACATAGCCCTTAGCGCCCTTGCTGTACTCGTTGAGTGAGTTGCTGCTTCAGCAAGGACTTTGACAGTTGAAGTTTCTTCAACCCGTAATTGTGCAACTCATTGTCCAAGTGATTCCGAACATTTCAACGTCTAGCTGACCTGGTAAGGGTCAAAGTTGGGGCGGGATTCAACCAAGCGTTTCACCCCACCTTGTTGCCAGCTAAGTCTAGAATTTGTAGAAATCATGAAGTGAAGATATGGCTGCCCAGATGTTGCAAAATGCTCTTTTTTCCTCAACATGGCGCAGCATGCTACATGATGCTACCTGAGTGTGCCGAAGACACCTGTCAAGGGCGTGCCGCCCACCAGTGGTTTCGGATCTCTAAAGCAGGACATTCTCATTTAGAAGGAGCTTTGGACATGGGAGACGGGCTCAAAAGACGTACAGATGAACATTGGTCATCGTTTGTTTGAAAATGAATCGCACCAAAAAGTGAACATGACATAGTAAAAACATTGGGAAAACCGTAAAAAAAAGAAAACGTAAATAATCACGACAATTCGTTTTTCACATACAGCCTGCACTCTGAATCCCTCCCCTTTTTGGGGGGGCCGCTGCTTCGTTCGCATCAGCCAAGGCTGCGAAATATGTCGGAGACCTCTTCGAAGGCCGGGAGACAGCCTTCAGATCTCTTAGTAGCCGATCTCATCAAAACTCTTTCCCTATACAGAAGTCCTTTTACCCTGGGGATCCAAGTACCTTCTCAGAAGGTGTTTGGGGTGGGTTTGGAAGGTCCAGGTGCCGTACCTGAGGTTCGGTACGACTGGATCCTGGTTAAGATCTAAGTCCACATACTGTCTCTGGTGCTTTCAATCACTCCACAGATTCGTTTTTTTTATGCTCCTCCCTTGTTGCTTTGAACCGTTGGGAGTGCCATGGAGTGACCGTTGGCTCCGTTCGCTTCGCGTCCGGAAGTGACCGTTCGGTTCGCGCCAGTTTCGCCCCGTTCGTAGCCTCCGATCGCTCCGTTTCGGTTTCGCAAATGCATATAGCACTGCCACCCCCAGACATGCTCCGTTCGTCGCTTCGCGTTCTGGCCCCGTTCGCGTCCGGGAGCTCCGCCCAATCCTCCCAGGAGTTCCGGAAGCTGCGGAACTTCATGCGGATGCACAATGCCCACCGGATGCAGAGGGGGAGGACGTCGTCTCGAACGACCGTCCCGGCGTGGCACGGCACGTTCTCGTGCGAAAAGCAAACTTGGCACGAGTGCCGCGGTGTGTGCACGAAAAAGCAAGAAGGGTCAGCAACTGACTAGCACAAGTATTCATAAGTATCAGCATGATAGAGGGTTACCGGGTTGTCATTTGCCTTGAAATGCAGGGTAGTTCTTGAAATGCTTTCAACTGTTGGGTGGTCCAACTGACCACCTGCACTTGTTGGTGAAGCGCCTCGCAATTCCTTGTCTTGTAGCAGCTGAGGTCCCTCGGCAGCTGGCGCTGAGGGTGACGAAGTTTGCAGAGCATGCCTACAGCAAGCAGCGGGAGGCCAGGTCAGTCACTTCACCGCTTGCTCGGATGGGTGGGATGGTTTTCTGGTCAGGGGATATGGAAGGGGGGTCATCAGCCTTCAGCTACTTTGTGTTTTTTTTTTCATGAGTTTCATGACAGACTCCACGAGCGACCCGGTTTGCCGCACCCTGTCGGACAAAACTCAAGTTACCACAATACATGATCTCAGGTTAAGCAGCAGCAGCAGACGTATCCTTAGCCTGTGAATCCATCCAACCAGATGTTTGATCCTTTTGCTGTCAGGCAGTTGGTGCATAGGAAATGTGCAAGCAACATACCTAATCGATTTCCACAAGAGATACCCCCTCAGCAACTGACTGGCCGTTTCATCAGATTCGATCTGAAGAGAATGAACACACACTATACACGCCACGCGCCTCGCCCTGTTTGAACAATGCTGTTTGTTTGGTTCGGCGAGTTTTTAGGTTTACCAGCGACATCTAACCGAGTGTGACTGAGTCTGACGTCCGGCTCCAAACCATCCATCCTTCCAGCACTTGATCAACAGCACTTGCTGGCTGCTGGAACCTTTTAAAACCTGAACCATCTATAATTAATCTCTATCATATATATTTGTAAATTATGTAAGTGCAAGGGCGCCACCAACAACAAGACTATCTGGAGTTGTTGTTGTTGTTGCTGTTGTTGTTGTCACATGTTGCAAGTTAGGGATTTCAATTGGACACTGTTAGGGATAGGGTCGAAGGTTTGGAGAGATGTTAGTAGCTGGACTTCTTGTCGTTGTGGTACTCAAGTCTTGGTTGGTCGGTTTCTTGTTTTTTGATGTTTTTTGGGATGTTGTTCTGGAGGGGGGGGGTCAAAAAAATCAACAACGGGGCTGCAGATTCTGTTTCTAGGGGGGTAGAGACAACAACATCTTCTGAGGGGGGGGTTCAAAAAAATAACAGCGGGGCTGCAGTTTTTGTCTCTAGGATGTGGTAGAGGTTCTAAGTAGAAGTTTTACAGAGGCTTAGCTGACCGGACCACCACCACCACCACGACTACTACTACTACTACTGCCACTACCACTACCACTACTCACTACTACCACTACTACTGCCGCTGCTACTACTACTACTACTACCACATCAACAACGACTACTACTAGTACTAGAACCACTAGTACTAGAACTGGTACAAGCACAAAATTACATGTTGGCTGGTTGTTTTCGGGGGGGGGGGTCAAAATAACAACGACGGGGTTGCAGATTTTGTTTCCACCCCCTTGTAGAGACAAAGGAACAAGATATCTTGTAACGGGGCTGCAGTTTTTGTTTGTACCTTGTTGTTGTTGTTGTTGTTGTTGTTGTTCTTGTTCTTCTTTTCCTCTCTGTTGTGAAATGGTGTCCTGATCATCCGATGCCTCGAGGGACGTCGTCCCACGACGCACCGCGCACACACGGAGACTCCGCGGCTTACGCGGTGCGCGTACGCGCGGGTTCCGCCTGTGAGGCGATGCCCATGAGCAAGGTGACCTTGTTAAACTTGGTCTCGGACACTCGGTGGCCGGTGAGAAGTCAGCCAGGTGATGCCAGGTGGCTGAGTGCTGATGTTCTTGGTGTGTGTATGTCAAAGAGGTGCCTGAAGATATGAGAAGAAGCTTTGAGACGATGTTTCGTTATGTGATGTTTGCTTTTTTCTGTGACTTTTGAAGGTGCTTCGTGCCAGACTCAACAGCCGCCTGCTTCCTGTCATGGTACATAATTAAGCAAACACCACAAGAAACACTATTTGTGGAACCTAGTCACCTGGTTTAATATTAGTATCATGGAGCATGTGAGCTTGGTGATCCAATCACCTGACTACTTTGTGAGCACTTTCGTACCTGAACCCATGGCAACCATAAGCTGAGCCAGCTTGGCTTCGGGGACGCCAGAGCAGATTTTCAACAGGTCTGTATGTATGATCTGCCTTGTGGCGTGGAACTCGTGGGTTTGGTTGGGTGATCCCAAAGGCACTTGGCTTTGGCCATTCGAACAGGTTTTTGTCGAACATGTTTTTGGAACGGAAGTGGACCGTTGCCTGCCAAACGGTCTCTTGAAACTACCAAGCAGCCTCGCATAGTGGCATGCTGAGTCCTTGCTTTTTGTTGGTGTTTTGTTGCAAAGCACCGACAAAGATGGCTGCTTCAGGATAAATTGGTACAGTAGCTATTTTGCCTGTAGCACCAGAAGCGCATTGTAAACATATATGATTCACCGTTTGGAAACCAAGCCACACATGAAAAGGCCCCGGCCTGCTTGCCACATTTGTGTGTTTGCATTTTCCATTCCACGTGAACATGAGGAACAGCTCTTAGGGGAACTCGCCTTTGAGATGAACAAGCCCTTCTTGGCCTCTCGGCAGAAATCGAGAGATCTCGCCAAACCAGGTTGCGTTGGACCAGAGATTTGCCAGTTCTTTGTCCTATGTCCTGAATGGTCTTGGCTAAAAACTGCGATTCGCTTCTTGCATGTTCGCGCTCTTTGTCCCAGCCATTGGTGTTTCTGGCTTTCCCCAGCCATTGGTCAGCGCGGACAATCGGACCGCGCGGTGGTGTTTCAACGCGGTGGCGAGATCATCCACAAGCGCTCTCGGATTGCTGAGATCATCCACCCTCTCTTTGAGAACATGGAGGCCTATGCCACCATCCTCTTACAGCGGCTCTGCACTAAGGCACGAGCTGCGTCTAATTCTAATCGCCAGCCCAGGGGTGGAAGCGCCATGACAACTCATGGCAACTCATGGTGGATCATGTAGTTTGGATGTTTTGTTGGGGAAAGCTCTATGACAACTATTGAGAAGTATGACAAAAACAAGATCCAACTACTTCCATCCAACTACTTGCAGACTGACGTGACACAGGTCGCCAGAGCAAGCGAAGTAAGCCCATCTAACCAGGTTAGGCAAGTCCGGAAGGCCAGTCAGTGCGGGGTCTTCACTGACTGGCATGGCACAGAAACTCAAAACATGTGTTCATCGTTTTGCAGCTCAGAATATCACTTGCATATTTTTCAAGTCGATTTGTAGGTAGAGCATGGGACGACAATAGTATATACCCTAGGATTCAGACCACCATTGCTTTAAATTGTTTACTGTAAGGATTTAGCACAAAATGAAGTTGTAAAAATGGCCGAACGGACTCCCATCGTTTCATACAAGAACGAAGCAAACGAGCCGGGCCAGAAGGCCTCGCAGGTTGTTGGCTGTAACAGCCTGCAACTATCCACAACGATCCCTAGGGATCCAGTCGTACCGAACCTTAGAAGGTGGGACTGGGGGCCCGGGTGCGTCGGGTGCCGTACCTGAGTTTCCGACTGGATCCCGAGGACGGCGATGAGGGGACGACCTCCGGGTCCAAAGAAGTCGGGGGTCTGACCCCCGCAAACGAACCGTGGAGCCTTGAATCAGAGCTGTTCAGGCCTTGGTCACCAAGCAATTGGCGCACAATGACTTCCTCTTCGTCTCCGGGAAACAGGATGGCCACATCCGTCCTTGCAACGGGGGGGGGAGGAGCGACGAGACACCGAAGCCAGGCAAGCAATGCCATCCCAAAGAGCCACCGCTGTGTGGACTGTTGTTTTTTTTGTGGTGGAAGCCCAAAAAGCATGGCAGACGAGCAGTCAAGAGCAGTCAAGCGGTTCCAGTTCCTGTGAATTCTGGGAAGGGAGACCAGAAAGCACCAACGGTCCAGTACGTACTCAGTTCCGTTAAAGAATGGTTTATGGGAGTTCAGGGAGTGCATAGGATGAAGACCTATAGAGTCAGTCCTTCATGGTATCCGATGGTATCCTTTAACCCGTGGTCAAATCATCTCAGAGCCCAGGGCTTGGCCGATGTCAATGTCATTCGCATGTCTCCGAGTTGTTGTTTCTCATCCAGACTCGGCTTGTTCTTTTAAACGCTGGGGCTCCCCTCCCCATCCCTCCAAAAGCTCATTGCCTAGGGGATGATCGCCCGAACCAGGGCGGATAAGATGGACATTGAGGGGCATATGCTCGCTTTCAGGAGACATGTGGTCCAGATTCTTGAGGTGAACCATTGATCAATCTGCCTTCGCTCAAAAACCTGGCCACCCGGGCCTAGAAAATCGAATTTCAAGTGTTCCAGGGATGGCCCCATCATCCCATGTCGCAACCATGTCCCACTGTCGACGCCTGCGTTCTAGGCGGAAGCCATGTATTTCCTCTCATCGGGTCAGTCGCAGGGCTGCATTTGTTCGGGTCGGTCGTGGGTGTTTCCTTTTTGTGGAGCTCGGGCATCTCATCGCTGTTACTGGGCGACGGCGACGAAGTCATGAGCGAAGAACTGGGCGCTAGGTCAGGGGAATTTGCGACCGGAGAAGGCACGACTGATCCTTCTTTCGAATCAGCAGGTCAGCAGGTGCTCGACGTGTCGACTCTCGACGCTCCAGGAGGTCGACACCAGGTCTATGGGTTCGGGGAGGTCTGAGGTCGCAAGAAGAAGAAGCTTTGGTGGTTGTAGACTCCCTTGATGAATCAACCACTCCATATTCTTGGGGGTGGTTATTCAACAAGAGTCTACATTAGTAGGCCTCCAAAGTCCCAGCAAGTTGGACCTAATCCAGTCAGTGGCGGTTGTTTGGCCTTCCTGGGGTCTTTGTACAAAGGAGGCGGTATATTCTCTGTTTGGTTAGATGCACAGTCCACCAATGCAGGGTCAAGTGAGGCTGCCCCCCAGTGTTCGAATGGGGCTTTTTGGGGTCCCAGGACCAAGTGCACGTGGACCTATATAGGAAGGTCCACCTCGGCCACGGTCAATGGTGACAGCCTGTGTCAGGCTCCTGTACAAGAAGAGCATGTCCGAAGAAGATAAGGACCACCTAGACGGCGCTTGCGCAAGCGCAGCAGTGTAGGAATGTGTGGACAAGATCGCCAGACTGGCTGGAAGATTCTTTCGTACACTATCAAGCTATTTTACATAGTATAGATTTCTCGGACTCGGCACTGACGATATGTGTTCCACATGATTGGAGAACAAGGACTGAATGCCCCCCCCGCTCAAGTTGATCCGGTGGGCACGACCGTAGCTGGCGTTTGTGGGATGTCCACCACCACCGCTGTTGGGAAAGAACATGTTCGAGGTTCCGCCACGTCAGTGTCACCCGTGTTCCTCACAGGTGATCCTTTTCTCCTGCCTGGAACATGAGGGAGTGTGCTTTGCTACCAAGGGATGCTCGAGGTCATGTATGAACCCAGGACTATAGATACATCAATGTATTTGGATGACATTGATGACATCCCATCACTATATCTAAGCTTCTGAGATCCCGAGCGTTCCCTTCCATTTGGCTGTCAGAGAAGCTCGAACCCACTCACCGCACGAACGACTCAAACCGTGCGAGACGCGCGTGATTTGGAGATCCGTGCGTTCGAACCGCGCGCATCATGACACACGCGCAGAACGACCAATCCGCGTCCTCCAGGAGTACGTCCAGGCGAACCTCGACTGGGTCACCGAACCAGCGCTGTGGCTTTCCAACTGGGAACACCTAGGCGCGGTGAGTGGGACCTCTGCCGCAGCGTTGAGCGTGGAGCGTTGACCGGATGGGACGGGTATCCATATGACTGCGGACTGGACCCCAGACACGACTAATGGGACTGCCATATACCAGGACCTTCCAACAGGTGGTTGGACACCTCTTCACCTCCAAAAGGCACCGACACCTCAAACCGAGGGTCTTTCTGGGGCGGCAGTCCGTCCTGGCAGTCCCACGGAGTGTCTGGGGAATATGTGCCGATCTGTGGACCCCCGCCTTCAACCACCCCAATTTCAATGTAAGTATATATATAAATATGCCGGCCCCAGACAGGGAGTGTCTGGGTATAGTGGGTGGGCGAGCTTGACAGATCTGTTCGATACCAGCTTGTGAATTGGTCGCAAGGTTGGGACAGTGGAGGCCTTGACACAACCCATATTGGTTTTGCAGGTTTTTGCAAAAGATACCAGTAAAATTGAGTATGATCTCACATATTTTTGGGGGTGAACTTACACCTTTCACACCCCCTTTCTCGTGTACTTCGAAGTCTTCACCGCACAGCGAGCGACGAGTGGTGCAGCCTGCCGTCCTGTTCCACGAGGCACGGCGGAGGCCCTGGGGGAGTCGGTGTTGATCAGCATCAACGCGGAGACCTTCAAGAAGGCCAGCATCGCCGTCGACGGTCGAGACCTTCTGAGGCTCGAATTGACCCTGTATTCACCCGTCAGGTTTCACAAGACCATCACTACCAGCACCCTCCAACAGGTCACCAATTGAGACCTGTTAGGGTCCAACAACCCTCAACTAACAGCCTGGCCAGGAGGGTGCTGGTAGAGATGCAAAGGCCTGCAACCCCCCCATCCACTGAAACCTGGTCACCTCGACCGAACGGGCGGCTGTCGGACTCGAGAACCCCACCGGAACGCCTTGTGATCGAAAAGCGAGCGATGCCGGAGAGTGGAGTCTAACAGCACGGGTTTTTGTCACGTTCGCCAGGGCTTCCGAAACAGGGCGCCAGGGCTTCCGAAACAGGGCGCCAGGGCTTCCGAAACAGGGTCCGGTCATGGTGATGGTACTGTACATGGTTGGGCATGTAATTTTTGATGTTGGTTCTTGTTTTGGAGGTGGTTTGGGTAAGGTTGGATTGCTTCTGTTTCATGTGTTTCATGTTGGGTGTGTCTTTGGCGGCATTGGAGCTTCCCATAGATCCGAGACACCTGGGCCAGTTGGTTTGAATCATTTACACTCCCTGAAAAAGTTGTGGAAGTTGAACATGGGCCCTTAGACTACAAACAGGTGGCTTTCCACTTCCATGACCATTTCACTATATAGAACCGTATATCCAGAAGGGGCTTTTGATGGTTTTTGCACTTGAGAAAAACATCTGCAGTGTTAATGTTTGGCCAGTTGTGCCCTCCCTCCGGCGCACATACAAGTTGAACTTGACCACTTGGACTTGGTGGTTCCACTAAGGGTCTTCCTGTTTTTGCCAGGTTCTCACAAGCTCCGCTTCACCCATCTCACAAGCTCTTTCCTATCCACCAGGCGGTAGTACATGACGACTATTGAACATTCCTTGTTTGGATATGTTGCTCTCCTGGGCCCTACTATGTAATGCAATGTGCTGGGTATAGTATGGTATGGTGATGGTGCGTAATTATAGCGTATTATAGCGTAATGTTATGCAATATAATGTGTGCATGAATTGGGGCAGTACAGTACGTTTGTATGTACGAAATGTAGTGCAATGTATTGTAACGCAATGTACGGTAAGAATGTGTTTGTTTTTTGTGTGTGTGTGTGATGTAGTGTACTGCAATGGTATCGTATGTGTGTTTGTATTTGTGCATGTATGCATATATTCAGCCTTTTTTTTACCTAGCTGCCTTCACACTGATTTGCGCGATTTGCACTGGACTCCGCAGATATTGCCAGGTAGTGGCCCATTCGAACCCCGCATACATCCGAGTGATTCAGATCTATGCTCGTCGTTTCCTGGTGTCTTGGCGTTGGGTCGATCTGGAGCAGAGGCGTGACGTCGTGGTGTTCAGAGATGATCAGAGTGGTAGAACGAAGTTTTAAAACGTATTGTGATGTGGCTGGTTGTTATGAAGGGAATTCCGGGAGATGTAGTGGAGGCTTGTGGAGTGGTTGCGGCAGTTGCTTGATGTTTTTTGTGAAGGCACGTGATGCAGTCGCTGATGTCTTTTTTCTTCGAGGCATATGATTTTGGACTGTTTTTTGATGTCAAGCTTCTTGCAGGGTATGATTTGAAACCCTTGAAACCTCTTTTATCAAGGGTTCCCTGGCACGCGTGGGAAGCTCCCTGTGGCGGTGTGTTGACGAAAAGCGCCATGACGGGCCATGGGTCCCAAACGACAGCACTGCACGACAGATTGTTCAAATCAATCGGCTCCCAGGATGCCCTTCTACCGTTCCAGATGCTCCACAAGTTTTGGAAGATGGATCTACCTTGTTTGGGTGGGCCTCTATGATTCTCAATGAAAAATATGTTCTCAACAAGCGCCATGGGTCCCGGGTATTCTTTTTGGGTCGCTTGTCTTTGTTTGCCACCTAGTCACCAGGGAAGAAAAAATCACATACCCCGCTGAAAACGAACATGGACCCTGAAAACCACTGCATTCTAGAGGAAAACAGTCGGACTGAGGGTGCCATTCGACTCGGGTCCATGTTCATTTTCGGGAGTGTAACTCATGCAACAACGAATCATGAAGCCTCAGCCAGAACAAGGATCAGCCGTATTTTCACCTAGAGTTCCTCTTCGTCTTGTTTTTGCAATCGGACATGTTCAGGTCTGGATCAACGAAGTGCCACTGCACGAGCTCTCGGACGTCTTCCAGCGGCTCGACCAGCAAGGGCAGAGAGACGAAGATGGCTTGCGGTGGTGGTTTGGTTGTTTGAGGGTGATCCAATTTGGGGATCAAACCACCGAGCTGGCAGTCGTTGACCTTCCAAACCCTCTTGAAGCATCCCAAAAAAATCTCACAACATTACTCAAGCACCTTCTCGGAAACTATGTAGACTTTTGGCCTATAGTCTTTTGCTTCAGTTTGGGTTCGCCAGGCAACCAGACAGCCACACTTTAGTTCCGTGTGTTGGGAAAGCCCACGGGCCCCAAAACCGACTGCAAGTCCAACACCTGTCCAGAGACAGAGGGGGACGCCTCGCCAGTCCACTGGTTTTGGGTTCGGTGTGTCGCAGTTCTTGGCCCATGTTTTCTAGCTGAAGCATTGCTGGGAAAGATGGGTTGCTAAGAAAGTTAGTAGGCTTGAATCAACTCAACTTAGGGTTGCGAGGATGAGAACGACGTCTGGATTGGGGTTCATGTCCTGACCAGTACTTCCTGCAGCATACACCCTTGCGCTCAGCAACGTCCATACCCTTGGGCACATAAATTGGCAAGCCAACAATGTATTTTATACATGTTTATATAACGACGTGGCCAGGTAAAGCGGTTGCCAAACCGAAGCAAATCACGATGCCAAACCGAAGCAAATCACGATCAAAAGAATGATCTAAGTCCTGTATAGTTCCTATAATATGCTTACGTACACATGGTTTTAGCCTTTGTTACTTGCATGTGAAAAGAGAGATTGCTACGCCTACCTGTGCAGGCGTGCTGCCGAGCAAAGCATTGTTAACTTGTGCATATGGCAGTTAAAGTCGAAACAAGCTGTGCACTGTAGCCCCTACAATGCAGAGTGGCAACTGAAAAAATCTTCGCAGTACAGTCTGTACAGTCTGTACAGTCCGACAATCAGATAGAACAACAGTCCGGCCACGAACATGCTGAACAAATGCTGCGATACAGTCTTTTCACGATGTAGTTCGACTTGTCCGTTTGCAGTCCCTCCGTGTAATGCTGAATCCAAACTGGAGTTGGAACGACTGACTGGTGTTTGCCAAATACACCTATTTCCCAACGTGGTGATAAAGAAATAGAGTAAAATCATGGGAAAGCTATTCACCAATGTGTGCTTTTAAGGTCTGGATTCATGGTGAGACATGGTGTGTGTGTGTGTGTGGGTGGGTGGGAAGTTTCCCGTCAAACCCTTTGCCTATCTTTGAGGGAGGGGTTTGGGGCAACAAAATATATCCTTGATATTCTTACATCCTCTCCAGATTGCTCGACCCGGCCCCTCTCCAGATTGCTGCACTTGCCACGTTTCTAAAGCACAACATGATTCTTGGATAAAGCGGTATGTTCAAGCCTGCATTGATGACGCAACTCTCGGCACAGTGAGAAAGGCAGTGATCAGTATAGCCTCCCTTTCAGGCAGCTGCTGCGAAAGTCAGATCCAGATCCCTTCCCTACCCGCCCTCGCCCTACCCACCCTAGTTTTGCTCCAGGTGGTGAAGCTAGTTTCCCCAAAATGGTTGGTTAATTGGTTCCCGGTCCGGCCCGGTCCCACCAAGACCAGCAAATCCCCACTGACTCTTCACGGTCACATGGTCGGCGCCCAGGAAAGAGCTCATCGAACCTCAGGCCAGACGGGTTCGGTACGACTGGAGCCCAAACGGGTGTAGAAAGTGTTCAAACATATGTGGTTTGTGACCTTCCAAATAGAGATAGAGAAGGTTATCGATTTGGGATCCAGGGTCCAAAATACCTGTACTCTGTCCTTTCGAAAGCAAAAAGACCTGAACCTTCAATCGTAGCACTTTTTTCTGGCGAACCAAGGAAATGATCACTTTTTGGAGTTTCGTAGCGTTTTTTTGATGAAACGAGCACTTTTTAATGAGTTTTAATGAAACGAGCATTTTTTCAACATGTTGAACACTGAAGTCTTCTTGGGCCAAAGGTGGAAACTCGCAAAATGCGCGCAAAATGCCGCAAAACGCGCGCAAATTGCCACAAAACGAGCGCAAATAAAAAAGTGGCGAACCACCCCAACATGGGTTGGATATGAGAGGGGTCCACGTGCGATTTTTGAGTGTTTGTAGCGCTTTTTGCTTGAACGAGCACTTTTGCAAAACGAGCACTTTTTTTTGTAGCGAAGGAAGGTTCAGGGAATCATGCTTCGCTTGAAACACACTGCTCCTCCCAAACTTGCAGGTTTCAAGGTCATCCTGTATCATCATCCGATGCAGCACATTGTGGTCACATGTGTCGTAGACAATATATTAAAGACAGTTTGGTCCGCGAAGTCCGAGCCACTTGGGGTCCCGTTCGAGTTTTTTGCATGTTTTTGCGGATCAGGTTACTTATATTTCCCGAACTGGGAATATGTGTTGTTTCTTTCCTTCTAGGTTCCTGAAGCAACTCTAAGTGTAGGATGTGGCACCGAAGTCAGGGATTCTTCACAGGTGTCCCCGTTATTGGTATTCATGTCACTTTTACTGTAAACAAACGATGACCGGACTTGGCATCCAAGCCAGGAACTTGTATAGGCTTGGAATTGGTTCAACCTATCCTTTACATCGATGTGTCATGCATGGGGATGTGTCATGCTGCATTGAACACCAGACAAGCTTGGAAATGATGTGTCACCCTCTCCCTCTCTACATCCCCCCCTGGGCCCAGGCAGTTTCTCCACCACTGTTGGGTCATAGAAACTGCCGGGTCCAGGTACCTCCACACGACGCGGATGGCCGAGGGCCGGCGGTGATGACGTACCTTCCAGAGAATGGTTGTTTCACCTGGGAATGTTTGCAGGGCATGTTTGCTGCAGCGGATGGTCCTTTCGACCCCCTAAAATTGGGGATTCCAAACTCCCAACCCCAGACACTCCATGGGACTGCCATAGGACTGCCGCCCCAGACTAAGACCCTTTTTCAACCACCCCTAGCCGTTTCTAGTCCTATGGCAGTCCCAGACAGGTCGTGTTTGGGAACCTTCCCCAAACCGGCCCAAACCTTCGAAGACGGATCCCTCTCCGAACCGCAGAACCATCGAACGCCTCGCCTCCTTCGCGTCAGATCCGCTCCTTTGTGCCCGATGGGATGCTCTTGGGGCGTAGCTGGGCGGATCTGGATGGGAAGCGTGAAACAACCGGCGTAGAAACCGCCTCAGGTTTCGGAACCTGTTTGAAGATGCCTTGGGTGTTGGTGTTGTTGTTCTCCTTTACCTGCTGCTTAAAGATGCCTTGGGTGTTGGTGTTGTTGTTCTCCTTTACCTGCTGCTTAAAGATGCTTTGGGTGTTGGTGTTGTTGTTCTCCTTTGTTTGTTTAAACATGTATTTTTCTATAGCAATGATATGACATTGCTCAAATAGACACAATACCACGAACGGATTTCTAGATTCTAGATCCAAAAGTAGATTCCAATGTATTTTTGGCAATGGAAGTTTTGCATGAGATGTATGGACTGCCAAATGGAAGAAGGGTGCATGTTTAACATTAGGCAGGGCCTATTTGAAGCAGGGCTGTTCAAGCGCATAAAGTTCGACGTTATCTCCATTGGCTGATCCCATTCCAAGCAGACCACACCCGCTTTCGGGGCACTTCACCAGCACCATCACAATCGGAGACATCTAATATATAAAGGCTATTCCCCAACTGCAGAATGCAGAATTGGGTTGAAAACCTCTGAGGCGCCTGAGTGTTTCACAAGTAAACTCTCCAGTGCCTGACAGTCAGAAGGGTGCTTACCTTTGGCCTGCTTCAGCCCTGGGTGACCGGTTGCTGTAGATCCTGCTGCGATCTCGATTCCGGAACCGGAGTGCTGGTGCTGCGAGAGCTTTCCATCGAACCTGCTGCGCTGTGTGTGATCTAGCCCCACACCGTTTCAGCGCAGCAGATCGTGTTAAGGATCAAAACGATCTGTGTGTCCCTGGCAGCATTCCAACGCAACCGCACCGGCGCACACTCAGTAACTTTCGCGCAGCCAAGAAGTGTCAGCAGCCTCGTTGCGCCATGCACTGAACCAATGTGTTTGTCCCTGTTGCCGTTGCAAAGCATCCTTTTGATGTCCTTTTTTACTGAGCACATTGTAAGATTATGGCACGCAATTACATATGTCATATGCCTAGCATCATGCTTGCCACGCTTCTGTGGCAGCAACAGGAGCTTGGCACTTTGAGCCTCCGGAATCACTCTTACGAGTGACGGGTGTGTACGCTTACCTGCTTGGCAGTCGCGAGGACTGCGAGGACTGCAGTCGCTCATGTGCTCTCGGTCGTTCATTTGCTCCCGGTCGTTCCTGATCCTGGTCCTGCTCATTCAGTTGCTTGCCAGCTTGCATTCGGCAAGTTGGAATTTGGTGGAGAGCTTTAGCAAGACACGTCGACACATTGCAGTTACTGCAGTTTTAGGATATTCTCAGTCATTGGCGTTGTTAGTTGCAAAGTGGGGTTAATCTACTAATATCTACTATGGATGTTTATACAATTGTGGTTTGGATCATGTTTGCAAATTTGATTTTCTCACAGAGGCCTCTGAGGGACTGCAAACCATCCCAAAGTGGCCGCTGGAGCCACAGTCAACGGGGAAAAGATCATGTTTGATGTATCTCAAAAGTTAAAATGTCCAACACAACATGTACCATCACATGATTATATAGATGACGCGTATCACCAACAGATGGGATGTTCATGTTTTTGCCCCGCCCCAGGTAGCCCCTCTGCGGATTTGTCCCACTGATGGGCCAGACGCCTACAGCTGGTTGAGGCTGGGTGCGTGACATAGCACGTCGCAGATGGTAATATATAGAGTCTAGATGGGCTGTGCCAGAGTATTTTCTTCTTCGATAATCCAAGGGGTTTGCGCGGGGGGGGGGGTCTCCAAGGACCCCTCCATGAGTCTAGGATGGAACACTCATGGATCAATGAATTGATTCGAACATGGAGCACTCGACCGGTAGCACGGATTCTTTGGCAATCTCTTTGGCCCAGCCAAGTGTGTGAACACGGAATACTGGGCAATATGGAATGGGCGGTACCTTGAGTATACAATAGGGATCCCTGTGAGTTGCTGGATTTGTTTCTTTGGCTTGGTTTTTTTTTCTGGATGGCCTCTGTTTTTTTCGTGGTGTGCGGGGGTCATCCAGGTGACCCGGATTCTATTGTTTCTGTTTCTCAATTCATCTAGTACAAAGGGGGGGTTTCGGACCAGCCATGGACCTTGACCGAAGCCACACATGAACCGAAGCGCAGAGCCCATGGATCGGGTCGATGGCGCCTTTCACGGGAGTGTTTGTTCATGACATGCATGCCTTTAGCAACAGGATTCCACTGGGGTGACTGAATGATGGAGATAACCAAAAGGGTGACCTAATTTAGCGCAAAATGAGTGTATCCCGAGTGTTCATTCAGTTTTGGATAACTATTGCCATTTCTATTGCCATGTGTTTTCGGATTCTTGTTGAAGCTTCAGGTCTGACGGTGAGTGTGGCACGGCAGATGAGCCAAGCACGGGAAAGAAGGCCGTTTCACCGCCGCGTCGACGATGTGCATCTGCCAGTGGCAATGTCAGCTTCTCACATCCAACGAGGAAGTAAGTGTGACCTGCTGGGTGGGGTTAGTGATGGAAGTAAGGAGGATACAGACCCCAAGCCACTACGAACATGTCAATTCTTCATGGAAAAGTGAAAACCATGGCAAACACACATGAACGCCTAGAATCTGCACGCAATCTTCCACTCCTACAGTACTCGTTGAAAAGCGTTGATGTATCCAGCTTTAGCATTACAATTAGGTGACCTCCCTCTGCATGCCTTGGGTATTTTGGAGAAGCCACTGGCGGCGCCCTCCGTCTGCCGGTCGGCACCCTCCGTCCTCCGTCCTGCATGTGACATGTCAGTGTGTTGCTTGTGTTTCTCGCATCGCATTGTAGCTGTTGGGGCGGCATCCGCCACCAACTTGCCTTCTTCCCTTTTTGTGGACCTTCCGCCACACACCGGATGTTTGGGGGGTTCTTCCGTATGGCTTGTGGATGTTTGGAGGTCAGATTGCAGAGTGACGTTGAGTTGATAGTACTTAGTACCGTACCCACACCCCCAAGGGAGTGGCATATATTCTACCTTCCTTCGGGTGGGTGCCAAGGCGGGGTCGATGTATGGCGCAATCCCATTCGGAGTCTTTGGGGTAGCTCTGATGTCACGCAGGGCCGAACGCGGCCGAACCGAGCCAGCTCCTCCCAAATGGGAACCGAGCCCCGGCCTCCCCTCCGCGCCAGCAGCATGGTTCGGCGGGCATGGTTCAACGGCGAACGACTCGGGACAACGGCGAAATGACGAGGTTTTCCACGGCAGCCTAGAAGGACCGTTTCCCCCTACATCTAGGCTGTTCCATCTAGGCTGCCATGGCTGCCCATTTCCCCTATAACAAACCTGCCTTGTTTGTTTTCTTCAGCGCGCATCCTTTTTTGGGAAACGGGGTCGTGACCGACAGGGGAGTCGTAAGGTGATGGAAGAGTGGAAGAGGGAGGGTCACCGGGTTGGTCTAGTGGGTCCATGCCTTATCCTGTGGCCAGCGTGGAGCATAGTCACTAGTCATGAAGAGCATGGTCGCCGGGGAGCCCCGCAACCACACACATGTTTCTGGAATTGCTCTTTGTCAAGGCTTCTTTTGGTGGTTTCTGGGAAGTTCATTCACAGCAGTGAAAGGTTGAAGTTGAATTTCAATGAATTTCCTGACTGTAACATGCAACTCCTAGCAGTTTGCGCCATGAGTTTGAGGAACTTGCCACCACGCTATGTGGCCACACTAAGAAAAAGGGGTCCTATAAACCCAGAGGATCAAGCCGGATGTCTTGTGGCCTCAACAGCATCACAATAAGCTCCATCATGTTCCATCATATCATACATCAGGTCTTTGGGGGATGTGGGATCAGGCTCTTTGGGACCCGAGTCGAGTCGCAGAAATGGGATTGATGGCCATCGCACTATGAGTTGATGTCTTTTTCTCCGGTGCCTCAACCAGGCGGCGCCCGGATCTCTGTCGCATCAAATCTCAGTCGCAACGGGACCTGCACTCCGTTCACCTCCAGATGATGGCCTGTAAGATCCTGGAAGTCTTAGTGGTCATGCATTCTCCAAAATGCTGGAACGCCTCGAGGTCGGCATCGCTGTTTTTGGAGAGACGATATCATAAACTTAGCAATTCTTGGAATCCTCAGGAGTTCCTGCGGTACTTGATTTTCCTAACCCCCCCAGGTTTCTTAAACAGAATGATGCTTTTAGGCAGGCGTCATTGATTCCAGGGAACTTCTCCAGAACTTCCTGTGCCCATATGGAACTGTGCCAGATGGCAGTGGACATACGTCAAAGCCTCTTCTCTTTGGTGGGCACCGTGTGGGCACTGCGTGTTCCCAATGCAACTCTTACGTACCGATGTCCTGTGAAGATAGGGCGTTTTTGGGGGGACCTTATGATAGGATTAACGGATTAACAAATGGTGGTTTCTTGATTCATTGTGTAATCCTATCATAAGAAGACGAAAGCACTCGTGAAACGAAGGAAAGAGATCAATAAGACTATTTTGATCATGCGTTGTCAACTACGCACCCCCTTTACAACCCCCGAGTTGTCAAGGTGTGTCGATGTTCATCGATGTTCCTAAGGAGTTCGCCCCATTTTTTGTGTGGGGACGTTTCGGAAAAGACATCACAAGCATGTGCACAAGCAGATCATGAGGTTGTTTATGGTTGTTTGAGTCATATCGATATGGCAACGATGTTCACCCATCGTGAAGATGTGGTTTGAATGCCTATAGCGGTGCCTTTTGATATCAATGAGGGGAGTCCACTCAGAATCTGCTTCACCCATGGCTGTGTTGAAGTCCTGCCTCAGTGCTCCGCTCACGAAGCAACACCCGCGACGGGATTGGTGCGTTGGCGATGCTGTGCGCCCTCTTCGGCAGTTTTGAAGCCACCAGGGAGCGGTTCATGGGAGTTGATGGGTTTGCACAACGCAGATCCCAAAGTCCTCAAAAGCTTGGAATGGCAGCGCTCAGATTGACAGTCCTCAGCACCTGATGCAACTTGTTCTTGTTTGCCTTGTTTTTCGAGGTTCCTGGGAGCTGCCACGCACCCAAGGGAGGCATGTGGATTGATCACGCCGAACCCGACCTGGACCGGAGGACGACCGGACCGGTGCTTCTCGGGTCCAGTGAGATAGTGAACTTACCAAACCAAGTACCAAACAAGTGTGAAAGCTGTTTCAATCTTCACAAGCTTTTTCTTGGTGAAATTGCTTTGTATTGTTGAATGATTTCTACTTGTCAATGAGAGATTGGGCAGTCTAGATTGGTGAAAAGTATGTGAATTGGCTAGTGATGGGGGTGGAGTGATGGTATTTTAATGCTAGACAGGCGAATTGTCCGGCATCCTTGACACATCAAAAGTGATAAGCCAATCCGTGATGCCCTGGCGTTCGCAACGTCCTCTTCTTTGCCTTTGACCCGCAACTGGCGACTTGTCCACTCCACCAATCAAGCAAATGTGTCTTTTTGTGCTGGCTTCATAGTCTTAGTTGCTGTTCTCCTGACCAGTAGCTGATCCCCGCATGATACCTTTTTTAAAGCCAGCTTCATGGCAAATATGTTATTTTTTTGCTGGGCTTAGGTGTCGCCGCACAGCTAAAGCTCAAGTTCAACCTCAGCTTGCAGACAGTACTCAATACCATATTGATATGTACCACAAGTGTCCTTTGGTTTGATTTGTTGCCAAACTGTTTGCAAGCTGAATGAGGGTTATGTGCAGCCCCCAGTCCCAAAAACAAACACCACAAATATATACATAAAGAAACCGATGATTATGATGTAGACCAGATCGCCTTGCCATTGTTTGGGCTTGTTTTGGTATGCTTGTGGTTGGTTGTTTGCAGTTGTGTGCTTTCATGGCCACTCACCTACCTAACTTAGCAATACTCCTACTTAAACAGTTGTTTTTTCTTTCTTGGCTTATTTGCTGACTAGTGGTAAGCTCTTGTTCCTGTTGTTCAGCCCCCTCACTGCTGATAGAATTGAATTGATTGACCAACAATATATGAGCAACTGCCAAAACCTCCGATGAAGGCAGCATCACTACAGTGAAGACTAAATAAGTAAAGTGAAGGAAACCTTCAGGAACGATAAGGTTCACAGAAAAAAACGATAACGTCGGGAAGAGTGCGCACAATAACACATAAGAGGTTTTGCACGTCGCTCATATGTTGTTCACTTGTGTAGCTCTTCGTCTCCTCTCAACACTCTTCCCTACAAGCTTTGCCCAGTCTCAACAGGCTTTTGGACTGCTCTATCGATAAAATATGTTTACCGGTTTACCTTGACTAAATTTGTTTGCTGATAAACACCAAGTACCAAACAAGGAAAGCTGGTTCAATCTTCACAAGGCTTTTTATTGATCAAACTGTTTTGTATTGTTGAATGAGTTCTACTCTTACATATTGCCATTCGGAACATCATGATCCTAAAACGACACTTACGCTACTTCAAGTGATCACCACCATGACATTTCAATCATTTGTCTTCATGCCATGGTCAGGAGCATGCTGCCGTTCTAGATTTTGCTTGTGGGTCCTCGGGTTGTGTGCTGTGGCTGTGTGTTGTGGTTGTGTGTTGTGGTTGTGTGCTGTGGTTGTGTGTTGTGGCTGTGTGCTGTGGATGTGTTTTTGTGGTTGTGTTTGTGATTGTGTGTTGGTTGAGGTCCGGCAGCGCCCAGTGCGCTCGGGAGCTGGCGGTTGAGGTCCGGCGGGGAACACTGCCATCCTGCACTTGCGGTTGAGGTGAGGAGGAGGCGGACGAGGCGGAGCCGGAGGCGGAATGCAGCTGACATATAAGCCTGACAGGTGGGGAACTCTACTAAAAGGTACTGAGCTAGACCAGTTGCAAGGGGATTGATTAGCTTCTATCCATGCAAGAAGTACTTCATTTGTTGTGCTTGGTCATCGGTATTGATTCCTGTTGTTTTGGACAAGGTGGCGGCCAAGCTCCAGCAAGTATGTTTGCGTCACTTGGACAGTTTCTTGCCGCAAGGATAAATAGGCGGGTTCCTCAGGCCGGAGTTTCCCTACTACCTGAATAGTTGTCTTTTCCCTCTTGCCTGGCTGCCTGGCTTGTCTCTTGTGCTGTTGTTACTTGGCCGTTCTTCCTTTTGATCAGCTCCACATTATTGTTGTAATCGGTGAAGCACATAGGTTCATGTGTATTGACATGTGCACATTCAGTGCTGCTTCTCTAACTCTCCCTTCCCCCTCGACAATCTATCCGTAACATGTCCTTCTTAGTCTCAACAAGATGTTCTATTGCTCCAGGGGGCTTTGTATTGGTCGAAGCTAGTTATGTGCTTTGAGTATGTTTGGCAGCACAATGGTCCTATCGCCTCAGGAAGTGCCCAGTCTAAGCCGACGGGTTGTTTCTGGTAGTTGTCAGCACTTTGCAAAGCTTCGCTTGTTCCCAAGTATGCAGTTGAATGTTTGTGTGTCGTCAACAAGTGCATCAACCAGAACTAGACTAAAGCAGTTGGGCCACCAGAC